ATGTGAGGACTCACTTAATTCCGGGCGTAAGTCTGGGCGGATGTGTCCGCACGTAATCCTTAAGCATTTGGACATTGGGTTGAATGAGATCCAGGCGTTGCGCCAAAGCCTCCCGAAAACTACAACTCCCTCTCATCGCTCTTCGGGTCCTTTCATACGATTCACAAGTATTTCAATTACAACAAAGTCTTCGCAAACAATCAATAGTTGTCTTACATTTCCATCACTTCCTTCTCTTTGCCGGCAAACTTCGCGATCTCATCGATGGCCTCATCCCTACACACAGTGGAGTCCACATCAAAACACACGGCATCTGATCCGCGAAACAACGCTCGAACCCGACTATCACTTCCTACTGAAGACATACCGAAACGTCGTTTCAATGGATCCGCTGAACGAAGACTAAGCGCTGGACGTCTGCGACAAATGCACACAACTCTCAAAGCAATCACTTTTGTATTATATGTATTGCGATATAACTTATTATAAGTTATATCACAGAATATGTGTTATCTATAGTTATAGTATATGTGGACTACAAGTGAATAGTTATGTGAATAGTAGTGATTGAATGCAATCGTATGAATGAACCGATGCTTTGAATGTCATATAAATAGCAAACTTTACGATAAATCGGATGAACTGAACGACTCATAGACTCGACGACTCATTCACTCAAACAAAGCACTAATTATTATACAACCGAATGACTGAACGTTCGATTCGTTTGATTATCCAATGAATGACTGCATTGAAGGACGCATTCATTAATCGCTTTGAAAACTCGAAAAAATCGCTTTAATTTTGTGTTGAATTTTGCGATTACTTTCTTATCCAACACTTCATCTCTCGCTCAATAATTCGCTATTATTTTGACATTAGATGCACTCAAAACACAAACAACGTTACCCATAGTCCGTACGAATGGCCCCCTTTCTCACCGTTTGTTGCCCTCAATGATAAACCCCTTTCCTAATGGCGTAAACAGTGTATGTGTTTTGCCGTTCACTGCCTTAAAGTTCCGTATTATATAACATGTGATGCAATATATGACGCATTTTATGTGATAACAGGTCTGAATTGACATCAATTACAGAGAATGTGCCCAAACTTGCGATTCCAGTATTACATACAATACAGACTGTCCAACATATATGACCCTATTGTGTTTTTCCATAGACAACCATTATATGACTACAATATCTTAATCAGGTGTAGATCAGGCATCTGTAGACAGATTTTAATAAACTTGAATGTTTTCAAATAAGTAAAAGCTATACTTTAAATTCTGATACTCAATAATTAATTTCCCTAACATCCCTAGAATTTCAGGGGCAATATTTAAATTATTTCAAAATATTTACATTTTTGTGAATTATTCAATGAAATCCTATGGAAAAGACTAATTACTTAATAAAATCACCAAGGATAGTATAATCACGATAAATTTAATATTATGTTAAATTAACAAATTACACATAATAAATATTCTATTGAATTAATATTATCCATCTACAACTACTATATCCAGAATTAGACTAGGTCACAAAATCAATAATATTTTATATCTTATATTTTAACAATAAAATTGTTCCTAGTAAACTTAGGGTTTATCAATTATAATTTAAGGCATACCAAATTAAACGTGTATTATTTGCCTTTAAATTCTACTAGTTATTGATAGACAAAATACTTAACAAAATTGCAAAATTATGTATAATGTAAATACCATAAAATAGGGTCATATATCGTGGACACGGTTTACATGCGAATACAGCCAAACATTTAATGACTACAGATTTACTCTTTACGTTATGACACTTTTAATCAAATGGAATGAAATTTAATTTACTATTAATTGCTTTATTAAATTCTACAAAGCATGCATCAGAATATCAAATGTAAATATTAGTTATTTATATTCAAATATTTGTAAAATAAAATAAACGAAATTGTACATGGGTCTTTATTCTTAAACTTAGTCGTTATCTTTATCGTATGATAGTATCTTTTGCTCGTTAGGCGTACTGTTATTCATAGCAATCAATATGTGTAAATCGAAAGTAATAGGTGATAAGTATACCAAAGTATACCAATGTAATCAATGTTATTATAATGACCAATGCTCATTCAATGATGAATACTTATCACCTTTTACTTTCGCAATAAACA